AAGAAAGATATAAGGCAAATAAATGTTTCTCACACGAGATATAATAGAAAAATGGCTTACTACGATGTTGTTCTACCATCAAGAGCTCAATTAAGTTACTCAAAACTAGATAGATAATGTGCCATTAAGGCATTTTTGACCCCTAATAGTCACATCGATTTTCTCCATGATGATTTATCCCTAATCTTTTCTAACATAATGTATTTTTTGGAGTATAAGACGCACCCCTTTCCCTCAAAAAAGAGGCTGAAAATCTGGGTGCATCTTATACACTGAATACAGCATTTTTTGTTCCCCAAAACTCCACCCCTTCACCAAAATAGCCTTGCAGAGCCTGTAGAAGGCTTTCAGAGAGCTCCTGCGGGCTGAGGAAGGCAAAAATGAGTGAAAAACAGGCCGTTTTTGCTCAATTCCCCCCCCCACCCCCAGGAGTACTCTATAAGTCTCCATAAGGCTATTCATGCCCTTTTTTCAGGCCTGTTTTTTCCTCGTTTTTCCCCTTTCCTCAGGAGCACTCTACAAGCCTCCTAAGGGCTATCCATGCCCTTTCATTGAAAAAAAATATGGGCCCGTTTTCGCAAAAAATGGGCAGTTTTTGGGAGGTTTGCAAAGTGCATTTTTTTTTTAAAAAAAACTTTTTTTAATTTACCTCTTCAAAACCTTGGTATATTTTATACTCTGGAAAATACGGTAATTTGTATACTTATTCCATTTCATTTAGTGACTTCATTTGAAGTTGCAATGGCACTGAAAAAGGTGACTTATAGCCAGCCCTCACACTTTACAACTGTCACAGCATTCATACAGTCGTGTGATCAAAACTGAGTGTTCCCATATGGTCAAGTGATCAAAATTGAGAGCTAGGCAACTGGCATGTATTTATGACAGTTGCAGTATCCTCCTTCATTTAAGTATTAGAGTGATTCGCTAACAACCATAGCAAAAAAAAAAAAAAACACCAGTCATAAAATCAGGTGTAACTATTAACAACCACCTTGTTTAGCAACAGAAATGTTGGTCCCAATTATAGTTATAAATTGAGGATTCCCTGTAATTATTCACCTCCTTTCTCCCTTTCACAGCAACTGAGCCTTCTCCAAAGAGCTGGGCCTTCACATTGCCAAGAGAGCTCACCGATCAGATAAAATTATTTTGAGGCTGAAGGAGTTGCCTTGTCTTTGTTAAACCAGAAATTACAAAACTGCTCTTCCCTTTTTGCTCCCTGGCAGTCAGTTCGTAAAACACGCTATCCAACTAAGAGAAAGTAGTTATACCAGTTGGCAGTCCTTAATGCTCTGACCCCCCTCACAAATTCATCCACTCCCATTGAAAAACTAAATTAGTAGCTATCTGCCACATCCAAGCTAATTTGCCACTTGGAGAAGCAGGAGGCAGAGCCTTGCAGGTATTCAAGAAGTCCAACAAGAAAAACAGCTGGCTGCTTCTATGTGGACTTCTTTTAAAGCAAAGCAGCATGAAGACTAAAAAGGCCATGCCTTGAGCTCATTTAAACTAGAGAAAGGAAGCCTTTTGTTATGAAGCATGCACTATGATTAGGTGTACTACGGCTTCATGGGGGGGGGACGGGACACGTCATGTAAACAGATTAATAAAGGAAAGAGTGATCATAATAGGAGAACAGGGACAACTCTAAGCGACATAGCCTTATAATTAAATATCAGGAAATGCATCAATAGACAGCTCAATAGATGGGAAAGGGAATACTACGGTAAATAGGATTGCTGATGTTTCTATCCAAGTACTCCCTGCAAGATTATAGTTGATGGAATGAGAGGAAATAAAACAAGACTATATTGAACTTGCAATGCTTGGGGGCCACTGTGAACCTAGCCCAGGTGGGATTCACAGAGAAAATATTTAGCCATATTCTTCAAAGGCTAGAAGAGACCTCATTTTTATTCCTGACCCAAGTTCAAAATGTCCATGCTAGAATAAATATACACGCTTTTCAAGGATTTGCAAGAACCGTAGCCTTCCAAGATTTCTCTACTGTGCTTTTAGTAAAAAAAAGAGAGAGAGAGAGAGAGTACTGCAGCTTGCTAGCACATTAAGGAGTGATATTATGCAAAGCACATAGTGTAAAAATTCCAGGAACAGAGCAACCACCTTGACCTAATTTCTTATGTTTCGCTGATACAGTACAGATTTCCAGCCAAATTCGGTACAGATACAGTAAGAGAACAAAATTAAGAAAGAACTGCTAAGCTACCTTAGTCATTGACATTTCAAGACCAGATTAGCAAATATCCTGTTTCTCCAACTTTCAATAATGCTTAGCATACTAAAGAGCATCCCCCTTCCCCTCCCTAGAAAAAACCCCGCACACAATTTGAGATCTCTTTTTGTTCAGTGGATATGCCGGGCTCTGAAAACTATCAATCAAACTCTACTGAAATCAGCAGTTTTGCAAAGGCCTAGGATGGCATGCTTAATTTGTAATTTGATGATGTATGCACTATTATTTCACCAAGCCTTACGGAAGATCTTTTTCAATATTTCCTAACATGATCATAAGGAAAAAGAAATGGCTTAGGCAACTTTTCCAGTCTCCAAAATCCCATGGCAAGGGATAAATTCATTCATCTCCTCTATAGGGTGAATATTGGCTCAGACTAATTTCATATATTGATTTAGCCTTGCAGCATATGAACTAAAATGCCATCAATAGCCATTAAAACAGATCTTACAAAACTCCATGCTAAAAGGAGGTCCCTTTTATAAAGTCGGGGAAAACATCCCTTCTGTAGAGATTTTATTATTGACTCACCAAAATCCCCAAGCAGTCAAATGTGGGCCTTTAATAGGTACATACACACAAAGATAATAAAATAATAACATCTGACAACTTTGGGAAGGTCTAGATAGGTGGATAAAAATGCCAATGCAAACATGTGGTTGACTGTCTGATTAATAATAATAATAATAATAATAATAATAATAATAATAATAATAATAATAATAATAATAATTCCACTG